GGGGGGGGGCTCTCCGTGGCGAAAGAGGAGAGGATGCGCGTATAGGATCAGGTTCGGCATCAATATTGCAGGGAGGTAAGAGAGAGAGAAAAAAGGCTGCACGCCACGCAGGCTGATGACACTTCATACACTCTCATCTCTCCAGGAACACTCTGTACACTCCCTTCAGCGCAATGGGTGACAACGTGAGGGGGGTTCTTGTTGTTTTTATCAAACCGTCCGAAACAACCCACTCATTTTGCATCTGTTAACAAATTCGCTGTGTGTGTGCAGGGCCGGTCAGAGCTCAGAGCCTTTGTGGGGTCTGCTTTGCTCTCCGGCCCCCCCAGAACCCACCACCTTCCATTCAAACGAGTTACAAAAAGCCATTTAAAGCAAATGACAATTTATTGTTCTGCCATAGACTTAACGCATGATGGAGCCATTAGAAGAAGTTTTTTGGCTGACCAACTGCCTCGATATTTCATATTGCATAAATGGCAAACTGAATAGCAGCTGTAAACAATATCTGTATAATGGTTCTTTAAAAAAAATCTTATTTGCACAACATCTTTCAGTGGGGAAGTTCAGATTTTCCTGGGCTGGGTTAAGATGTAGGTTCATTACTCCATTTCAGATGTGCCTATTTGGAAATTTATGTTTTGTAGCTACCAACGCTAAGTCAGCTTGGACCCATCAGAGGGACATTTTGTGACCATTTTGACAACATATGATTTAAAGTACTTTTATGCGTCATCCAAGGAAATGTAGTAGTTTGACCCACCAAAAACTGTTTGAAAAGAACAGAAATGATTGAAAACTGGGGACAATACTTGAATTTCAATTATATGTTAGGAACAATACTGGTTAAAAATAAAAATGGGGAAGGGGAAAACTGACCCAGATATATTTGGAGCACTTCATCCAGATGTTCTGCATCACTGTTAAAAAATATGTTTAAAAAAAAAAAAAACACCTTGGCTCATCACTGATAGTTTTTACCCCAAAACAAAGAAGCTCCAAAAGATTAACTTATGTGTCACATTGTGTAATTACTTCACATTGTCTCACAATAAATAATAAACATATAAGTTTGATATATTGAACACATTTGGTATGTTTTTAGGTCATTTTATCAGTGAAGATTAATTAATTTTTCACCGGAAAGGAATGCTACAAAGTGCTGTAATGATTTTCTTTTTTTTTTTTTCTTTATCCGCTATTATCTGTTTTTGGTGTCCTTGCAGCATGCAAGTCTTTTTTTTAATCTATTTATTTAGTTATTTATTTATTGGTGGTCTGAGCCCCCACCCACCCATGTGACCAACCCTTTGAAAGACTTTCAAGGGACACCCCTGCATTTCATATCAATAGAGTCTTGATATGAATAAAAAAAACCCGCCTAAAACGACCTCACCTTTTAACAACATTTACTTCGCTGTGGTTCATGTCGATGGGGAACATTAACCGGCTTCATTCAGTTATTATTGCAATAAGTCAAAACTCAACCTGCTTAAATTTCCACGCATCTGTCTTAGATTAGCATCCATCCTTCCTTTCAGCCTCTTTTTTTTTTTTTACGTCCCTGAAGCTGCAGACGGTTTTTATGCGTGGCGAGCGTGGAAACCTGACAGATGGCCGAGTAACTTGATAAATAATCCTGGGCCTTTTTGGTGTTCTTTCTGCCTTCCGCAGCGCAACGCGTGCTGCAACTCGCTTTGACTCTGGGAGCAAATTACGCAAGATGCACAATCGCAGCCGAGCTGATCCTTAATGCAAATGAAATGCTATGATCAGTTTGACCCCAGCGGGGCCTCCAGAGGGTCCTCGCTAAAGTATAGTTTAAAAGAGCCGCTTTACATGTTGCCCACTTGATTTGCACGTAAATGCTATACATTTCTGATAAACTGTCTTATAATTCGTTATTTTTGTTATTTGACTCGAATTAGCAGGAATTAACGATAATCTCAAGGCCAAATTTCTCCCAATATGGGGTCAGCGGGGGCTTAATTGGGAATTATCCCTCTATCATCTTTGTGACTCAAAAATTGTGAATTATCCAAAGTGTCGTGCAGCTCAGCGTGTGTTTATGTGTGCGTTAGAGGAGGGGAGGCAGAGAGAGAGAGCTATTACACATCAGCATGACAGCAGGGAGAGAAGGAGGAGGAGGAGGGAAGAGAGGTTCCATGTGCTTCCTGTCTACACGCCATTCACCTCCCTGAGCTCCAACAGGATGGAGGTCCTGTGCGCTGCTGCTGCTGCTTCTCGCATTTCAGCCAACTGACACAAAGTTCACACTCTGCGGTGTTTTGTCCTCTGTTTTTAATCGCCGTTTCTATCCGGACACATTAATCCTGAAATTTCATCTCCTTGTCATTTTTATTTTTTTGTTTTATTATTTTTCCACTCTGATCATCGCTGGGGTGTTTTTTTTTTCGGGAGAAAAAGGTACGTCGTTTTATTTAATTTTTTTTTCTCTGTAAATTAAATTAACTTGAAAAACACATATCAATCTCTATATATGTTTTGTTGCTATCTCAAGCACGAATCGAGTTTGGAGCATGCGTGCATCTTTGATAAAAAAAAAAAAAACTGTTACTCAGCCATTAAACTTTAATGAAAAACCTGCATGCGAGATCTCCGCGGCCTACATTACGGCGTCAGTAAGGCGCAGGTGAACGTGAGAGAGGCCCGCTCCAACCTAATTCCCGGCTACTGTCTGAGGCTAATCTGCACTGAAGCTTTAATTATATATAGGGCTGGTCTTTTATTAACAATGCGGGGACGCACGCTTGGATCCGTGTAATTACCAGAAAAGCAGCTTACAGTTGCTCTTTTCCTCTCCGCTAAGCGCATTGGCGCAGCTCAGGCTGCATTCTCCTTCTGTCCTTTTCCGTGTGTAAGGATCTTATGTGACTCTTAAGTAGCTGCTCCGTAAGTGCTGAGCCGATTTGAAGATAAGGGGAGCAGGAGAGGTCCTCCTTCCACGCAGGAGGTCACCCCCCAAAAAAAGAAAGAAAGAAAAAAGAAATCCGGTAGAGGAGGCCGGACGCGCAGAAGAAGGGCTCAGACTGATTTCACTTTTGCAGTTATAAAAATCTTCATTAAGAATAATAATAATAACAATTATTATTATTATTATTATTATTATTATTATTATTATTATTATTATTATTATTATTATTATTATTATTATTATTATTATTTATTAGAATTTCGTATTAATGAATTTATCAGTGTTTTTATTTGCATATTGATTACTTATTTAGATTTAAATTAGCAAAAACAAAATAGTTATGATTAAATAATTGATATAATTTCATTTAGTGCTTTTTTTCTATATACTTATAAAACAAATATTTGTACACCTTTTCCCCCCCAAGCTAAATTTCAGCACTTTATCTTTGACCGTCAGGCTTCCAGGGATGGAGTCGATGCCCGGACATCTTGGAGACGCGGGACGAGACGCCAGCTCTTCCCCGAGTTTGAAGCAGGACGCTCAGAGCTTTTCCAGCCCAAACTCCCTCAAACCGAACCAAGTGAGTGAGACCTCCCTGTACGGGGTGCCCATCGTGTCTCTGGTCATAGATGGGAAAGAGAGACTCTGCCTGGCGCAGATTTCTAACACCCTGCTGAAGAATTACAGCTACAACGAGATCCACAACCGCCGCGTGGCTCTGGGCATCACCTGCGTGCAGTGCACGCCCGTCCAGCTGGAGCTCCTGCGGCGCGCCGGTGCGATGCCCATCTCGTCCAGGCGCTGCGGCATGATCACTAAACGGGAGGCCGAGCGGCTCTGCAAGTCGTTCCTGGGGGCGCACAGCCCCCCGAAGCTACCGGAGAATTTCGCCTTTGACGTGTCGCACGAGTGCGCGTGGGGCTGCAGAGGCAGCTTCATCCCCGCCAGATACAACAGCTCCAGGGCGAAGTGCATCAAATGCAGCTTTTGCAACATGTATTTCTCCCCGAACAAGTTCATCTTTCACTCCCACCGCACCCCGGAGTCCAAGTACCTGCAGCCGGACGCGGCAAACTTCAATTCGTGGAGACGGCACCTGAAACTGACGGAAAAGAAGCCGTCTGAGGATATAAACCACGCGTGGGAGGACGTTAAGGCCATGTTCAACGGGGGGAGCAGGAAAAGGACTCTGCCCATGAGCGGGTCGGGGATGTCCTCGACGCTGAAGTCGCAGGCCTCGTCCAGCTTGGCTCCAACTAGCTCCCCTGAGATCCCTCACAAAACTTTACGGTGCGACGAGGAGCAGGGAAGCAATAACTTAAGCTTGGCGGGCGGCGCGCGGAGCTACCCGGTCATCCCGGTGCCCAGCAAGAGCTTTGGCATGCTCCAGAAGATCCCCCCACCCCTGTTCCCTCCCCACCCGTATGGCTTTCCCAGCTACGGGCTGTGTCAGAAAAAGAGCGACGGGGTGACTGACGGTAGCAAGCCCGGTGTTCCCGGGGTGTTTTGGCCCGGCGCAAAGGACTCCCTCTACCCAGCTTTCCCCATGTTCTGGCCCGCAGCCGGTGGGCTCCCCATGCCGCCCTATCCGGGCTCCCCGCCCAAGCCTCCGGCAGAGCGGCCGGGCGTCCGGCAAGCTGAGTTGGACCTGTCTGACCAAAGCGACCGGGGCGCAAACACACCCAAAGACACAACCCCGCACCCCCACCACGAGCGCAGCCCCAGCTCCCAGTCCTCCTCCACCAGGAACGACGAGGACAAGTCCGGGGACGAGGCCTCCCAGAGGAAGATCAGCTACATCTCGGCCTTCAGGCCCGTGGTCAAAGACGCGGAGACCATCGCCAAACTCTATGGCAACCGGGACGGGTTCGGCGCGCGCCCGGGCTACCTGTCCCCGGATTTCATCAGCGAGAGCTCCAGCTACAGGTCGGCTTCTCCGGACAGGGACAGCGTGGTGGACGACGAAGACGACGACCCGGACGTGGACGTAGAGTCCAACCGGGGTCCGGAGGAAGAGGAGTCGGTCCTGATCTCCCCCGGTGGGGACCTGCGAGGTTCCCCCGCGCTCGAGCGGGTCTGTTCTGTTGCCGAGGAGGCCCAGGAGCGGCCCAACGGCGCCTCCAGCCCCGGGGCAGCTGGGGCATCACCGCAGGGCTCTTCGGATGAGGACCGGCAGATGCGCAACGGTTCCCCCCTTCATGAGGTGAGATTGGATGAAGTGAAGCTTTAATGATCCCCGGAGGGAAAGTTGGACTGAAGCAGTGGGGGTAAATATGATAGAAATGGTGACCAGCACAGATTTAATCAAAGGCAATTGGCCTTTGCACTTTATAAAACAGAGATAAAATTACCTGCTCTTGAGCAAGGCAGCAGGACTGTTTTTTTATTATTATTATTATTTAAATATAATATATATATATATTAAAAAACTACAACAACGTTTTTTTTTATTATTTAAACGAACCTGGTCAATTTTAGATCACAGGTTAAATTATAGCCCAAATAGGCCAACACTTACTAGTCATAATTTTAAATAAAAGGCTTTAATTATTATTATTATTTTTTTTAAACAAAGCTTAATTTTTTTCTCTTTTTTCCCCTTTTTTTCCCCTCTGAATGGCTGCAATTATGTGAAGAACCAATGGCGTGTAATTGCTCTCTGTTTTGCAGGTGTACACACATGAAAAGGACGGCCCGGTGCTGCTCCTGAACGAGCCTCCTTCCTACGGCTCCAAGCAGTCCAGCAGACCCAGCGGTAAAATTATTGATCCAATTTATTACCGGCTGTTCATTCGAGCACATTTTGAGCAGCCTTTTAAGCCAAGACAATTGTCCTCCTGCTTATGTCCAGGCGTCCATCACATGACCGAAATACAAACGCAGCGTGGTTCAGCGTCCTATCCAGAGCAGAAGGACAGACAAGGTTTTAAAGTATCCTCTTTTATATTTCCCGATGAATACAATCCATTGTTTTAAAACTAAAAGCTTAAAATCATCAGATGGTTTTTTTGTTTGTTTTTTTTTTTTTGTTTTTTTAATAAAGACATCATTTTAAATTTATGTTGTTTATTTTAATGGTTTATTTGCAGGTGATGGAGCTTTACGCATCGACATCAGCGTCCATGAGAGAGATCTGGAGAATATGGCCAAAGGTAGGAAGCGCTTTGAGCCTCATATTAAAGTTAACACATTATCCGCAATAATTCACAACGTAGCAACAATCTGAACGGGGCTAATCTTATTTCCTTGTTTTTATTTTCGATCGTTTACATTTACGAAGCGAAACTGGGGGCCCTTAGCGATTTAAACAAATCCAGCGTGCGTGCGAATAAAATTAACACGCAGATTTCCACCTGATTTGAAACGAAGCCGCTAAAGACGCACGCGCCCGAGTCTCCCGAATGCGAATTTGCATTTTATAGGCCTACAGTGTTTCCATAGTTGTTAACCACTTAATCACGAGATGTAGGAGTTTTGACTTATTATTGTAAGGGGAAATCGTTTAGAGGCTATTAATATTTTAACGAACAGAGCCATAACCCCGAGGCGCGGCAGCTAATTATTTTACAACGCTTGGAAAAACCCTGGGACTCCGTTATTATCGTCTCCACCTCCAGGCAATGCATGGCAATTACTGCGGCAGCCTGCGAGAGAGAGAGAGAGAGAAAGAGAGAGAGAGAGAGACAGAGAGAGAGAGAGAGAGAGAGAGAGAGAGAGAGGCAATGGTTGTTATCAAGGATGGAGACACACCTGAAGTCGCTTTACTGCGCGGGCTCCAACAGATCCTTATGAGTAGAAAAAAAAATAGGATATGAATTTGATCAGGTGTGTGTGTGTGTGTGTGTGTGTTTTAAACTCTATTAGTATGTGGAGATGCGATGGGATCATCCGTCTTGATGCTAATGTCTCTTTCCAGAGGAGTTGCAGAAGCAGCTGGTGGAGCAAGTGGAGCTGAGGAAGAAGCTGGAGAGAGAATTTCAGCATCTGAAAGGTATGAGGGGCAAAAAGTGAGTGTATTCAGCGAGCTAAGAGTCGTTAGAAAAAAACATCAAGACGCAGAGCGAGTCGTCTATCCATACGATGAGGTCCCTTGTTCTCCTCAGATAATTTCCAGGATCAAATGAAGCGTGAGCTGTCCTACAGAGAGGAGATGGTCCAGCAGCTGCAGATTGTTCGAGGTGGGTCTCTTTGGCAAGCAGATTCAGTTTGGTTCTCCTTTAAGTTAAAGTAACTCAACTCCTGTTGGTTAATCCAGCTAGCTTCTCATGCTCATAAAAGGAAAAAGTGACACTTGCATATTTGAAAAATCAACACTTGAAGTTGAGTTGTTTTTTCTTGTAAAGCTCCACGTTATTTTGCTATTTTGTGCCGTGGTTGAGGGGATTAATGGACGTCCAAAGGTGAAAACTGAAGCCACATTGTTTTGCTTGTAAATGTTATTTTCTCCTAAATCATGCTCTGGAAAATTGAATAGACAGACCATTATGTAGCTCTGTATCGGTTACATGCAGTAGACATCAACTAATGCCACCCGTTAAAGGATTGGTTTAACGTTACAGTCGTTTAAATACAGGGTTCAAGTACACAGAGGGGTCACTCTAAATACCACAGGGGCAAACGGCACACATTACACTCCTCCACATAATGCTCACGATTTTATTTTTTATGTTTTTACTCTCCTCAGTAATCCTTTTTGACCAGTTGTTTTATTTATTTATTTATTTATTTATTTATTTATTTATTTATTATTTTACAGAAAATTGAATTTCTGAGATCTGACCTGAGCTTAGCTAATCGGTTTATCACTCACTTTCTTTCAAAATGTGTTTCTGCGTGGGGAAAATATTGCAAAAACAACGTGCAATTTATAAACCAAATTAAACAAAATGTGATGATTTTGTATGGTATAGTAAGTGTGGCAGCTGTCATTAGATGAACATACAAAACAACCAGTTATGACAGATTTCTCCTCTTATTTTTGGTGCTTTTCTGATTCCATCACCTTATCTCTTCTTCTCCTTCTTCTTCTTCTTCTTCTCCTTCTTCTTCTTCTTCTTCTTCTTCTTCTTCTGCTCTGCTGTTCCGGCTCCCAGTGGAGAGTCAGCTCTACTTCCCACTGCTTCATTAGATGCATGAAAATGCTAATCAGCTCCTATTCTGTTACACCTTTGGTGACATTTGATTTAAAGTATGTACTACTTGGCTAAAATTTTTCCCTTTTAATTACATCAATTGTCATTTTTGTTTCTCTTTGGGTAATATATTTATTTACATGTTAATTAGATACCATTATATAAAAAAAGAAGTGCTGTTTCTCCACCGAAAGCCAATAAGCAGCAAATATTTCATAAAATCCAGCTAACTAAAACACTGCCGTGTGCGATGGTAGTGATGCTGAACGATGAAACTGGATGGAGTAAAATGGTAATTTCTTGTGAAATCATAATCATCTCATAACTGGGGAAAGACAAACCCTGTTTTCTCACAATAACAACTGCTTAGCTGGAAAGATGAACTTTATGACGGGTTTGGTCGACGTTTCAGACGACAACAGAGCTTCAAGATCTTTGTTGAGACTCCCGCTGACAGGAGGAACAAACTTTTCAATTTTTTTCATATAATAAAGTTTGTTATTCTCTAAGAAAAAGAAGAAACTAGGCGACTAAAGAAAGGAAAATAATCTGAAAGCTCAAGTTTAAAAGAATAATTGTTTAATGGTTAAACTTTCTGTACTTGCAGGGTTCAGGTGGTGGCTTTGCAAAATCGCTAAGCAATACTGGTAATGAAAGAAACCATGTATGAAAAAGTCTGTCCGATTAGTTTACAAAACCCGAGGATGTGACAAAAATCAATGAATGACACTTTGACATTATTTGGTGCCTAATGATTAATCGATGTTGCCAGTCGACGTCGTTTCTGAAAAACAGGTGAAAAAACTCTTTAAGCTGCTAAACCATTAAAACTCTTATGTCCACAGACAGGAAAACACAACAAGTCTCACTAAAATAAAATAAAATACAATAAAGTAAAAATAAAATAAAGTAAAATAATCAACGGTCCCCCATCAAGAGCAAGTTGGTTGAGAAGTGTTAATCATCGTGGATTTGGCCCTTTGCATGTTTTCAATACACCTTCCTTATTTTTCCACACTGCTACCATTACTTACCTGAAAGTATGAAGAGGCAGAACAGCTAAAGCATAAGAAAAATCAATTTTTTTGACTGATTTTTAAAATGATTATTATCATTATTATTCTCTGGATAAAAATCAGCTAGCAGCTGCAGAAGACTCTAAACTGAGGCAGAGATTCGCCTCCAGCAGATCACTAAACACACAGCCAGAGCTCCAGTGGAACGGTTAAGATCAAAATGTATTCCTGCATTAGAGTGGTCCAGTTAAAGTTCAAACATAAATTAAATTGTTCCTTTTAAAATGGCAAAGTTTACAGCTAAATCAAGGAGAAGTGAGCGGTGTGACGCAGACCTGTGTGAGGAAACTCACCAAGTTTTCAGCTTTTCTTCTGAGCCGAGGAGCAGAACAGACGTTGCAGATGCTGTTATTTCATCACTCAGAAATGTGATATTAACAAAAACAAATGTAATATTTCTGTTTAAGATAGCTTCTATTTGTAAAGTATTTAAGGCCAGGAGTCAAATCCAGACCCCGGTTTAGGTTTATTTAGGTCCTAATAAATATATCGAAAGATTAGACTTCCACT